TAATGCATATGTATGGAATTGTTTAGATTACGCTGATAATAGCGCTAAACAAGAAACATTGTGTGTCAAGTTTAAAACATCTACACAAGCAAAACAATTTGAGAGCGCATTTAATGATGCTAAAAAATTAAACGAAAATTTAAAGTAATTCTTTTTTTTCTTTGTGTGGCAAAGTAATTACAACAATATGTGTCTATTAACTAATTTGTGTATGTAATTCCCATAGAAAAATCTCGTGATCGTTTTTTTTTCTGTGAAAGTTAACTAGCTTATGTTTTTTCTTATACGAGTGTATTTTTTTTACGTCAGTTTTTTACTGTCTTTTTGTTGTAAAAAAATAAAGCAGAAGAACTGTAAATTTTTAACAAAAATGGAAGTGTGTAATCAACTGACATGATTATAGCAATAAGAACATTTAACTAGGTCGAATCGCTTGTTGATTCTCGGGCATCTAGAGGATAAAGTGGAAGGAATTTAAACAAATACGATGGTAAACAGATTCAGTTTTTAGGCTGATAATAAAGTTTTATTTTCTTATACCTTTCAGCGTACAGGAAAAAAACATTTTCAGAGGTGGAAAAATAAGTTTTAAATATCACTGAACCCGTACCTAGAAATTGTCTGGATAGTAAGTGTCGATAACAACGTTCCGTTCAATCTTAATCCTAATAGTTTATCGGTTTAGTCAGTGATAGTGTTATGCTAAACACCTAAATGAAACAACTCTTGTTAAAAGAAGGAACATGATTAGTCAACTTCACAACAGATTTCTAGCCATTTTACAGGTATACTCTCAGGTGTTTATCTTGGAATATAAACTATTCATTTAATATTCCACAGTTAATTAATGTGCGACCCTTTATTCAACATCGTTCATCTTAGACGAAATGGGATATGTGTCATATAGTACCATGTTAGTCAAAATCAGAACTCTCTGCTGTCGTTAACGTCTTCGGTAGAAAAGCCAATACAGAAAAAAACATAAAATTATGAATTTACGTATTAACTAATCGTGCACAGTGTGAAACAAAATGTCTTTCAAGAGGACTCGAAAAGCAGAATAGAGTGAGTTCTTCATTTATTTCATATAGAGAACTGTTTTTCAGTTTTTCGTGAGTTTTTGCATTTTTTATAAAACTCGAATGAGTTTCCTGAAAAAGTAAAAAATTTAATATTAGCTGTTTAAAAGCTCAAGATCTTACTCTTCAGGGGTCTCAAAATAGCTCCTTGTACAAGAGTCAAGTTTTTAAAGCGCAGTGTATTCGAAGAAGATAGATTAAAAAAGATTTATGTTTTTATTATGGAGATTCGAGCCGAGACTCGTCGCACGGAACGCAAATATAGACGTCAGTGTGTCGTATCCATAAACCTATACCATCTCATCCTCGTAAAGAGGCGCAAATGCAAATATTTCTGTAATGTTTAGATTGCTCAACTGGCTCTTCTACAAGTGTCGCTGATAGCTATCATGCTGCTAGGCACAATGCTTGTTTTTTGTAAGCTCTAAAAAATGAATAGCTGCAAATAAATAAAACTAAAATGCCTAGAAGTGAACACCACGTTAGTCTCACAACCGAACTGTGTTTATAACGTTTCTTTAGCTGTGACAACTCATCTTGGTAAAAGCTTGTGTGTTAAATGAATGCCACATGGGTAATGTGGTAAGATAAAATTTTCAGTGACTTTGCAATTATCACTGAATGACCTATCATTATGAAGATTGTGCTGTCGTAGTCGATACCAAGTATATCAGTATTACTTGAAAGTACGTATGCACCAGTTACACTTTTTTACCAGTTAACTGTACTTGTAAAACTGCTGATAACTGTAACTGTCATATGTCTACTTGAAAGATTGACATAACGCATACTACTCAGCTTTGATACTGCTAGAATTTTGAATTGTATCTCAATTGATAGCTCTAACTCTCAACTTTATTCCTTGTTAATAGCAAATTTTTATCTTAAGTTCTTTAAAAGAGAAAGAGAGAAAAAGTTTTGTACCTTTGATTTGTTTTTTTCGGTCTATAAGTGTTCGCACAATCAATTTCTCATTTCTATTTTGATATTTATCGAACAGATAGAATTTTTGTTTATATACCATTCGAAAGAGCAAAGTCTGGGCTACATGATGAAAAAAAAGAAAATATCACAAATAATTACAACTAAGGATGAAAATCGTATTTTGGATTAATTAGTCAACTTTTACAGAAAAAATTATTTGGTCTACCTAAAACTCATCAAAAGATAACTTTAAATATACCATTGGATAGCGCTTGAAAAATTGCATGTATCTGTTATGATTTCATTAAAGTTAATTAGTCAATCTCATATTTAAATCAATTTACTTTTTCCGCTCATTGACGAGTATAACTGACTAATCTGTTTATTTTCAGTGTTTCATTCGAGTGTGTATTTTTTTAAAAACAGAAAGGAAAACGAAACAAAAAAGAAATTTTGTTCTATATTATGTAAAATTACGCTGAATAGAATGATGTGCACCTCAGCGTGCAGCGGATAAATCCATGCGCCAACGACATTGAACCCAATGGTCCATAATAGACTGTACTGAGACTAAGATCGCCGACAACAGAAGAACTGACTGTAGATGTATAAAGTCGGTTGTATAGACCTTTTTATTTAATTTTATCTACTGATACCATCTAGTGTTGCGATTTTCGTCATCCTTTTACATGTTATAGGTAGTGCTGATGTAGTATTAAGATTATCATGTGTCAAATACGTAGGAGACATAATTAAACTCAAATTATTTGACTTGAAACTAAATCTGTTACTCGATAAAGTGTATAAATTTTCTCCAAAACACAAAACTTGTTTCCCACTTAATCGAAACTAATCGATTAGAGAAATCGAAGATGATTCTAATAGTTCTATCATGAATTCTCTTTAATGATAACCCATTAATTTCCATTAAACTATTTCGCTAGTAAAAAATATTTCATTTTATTCTATACACACATAGCAGATATCACACAACAGATATCAGGACGTTATAGTAGACCAGTAGAAAAAAGACACATACATATAATACAAAAAAAGATATATCAAACAGTCCTATAAAAAATAAAGATCTTTTGTACACATACATATCTGACATAATAGATTGAGCAAAAAAATAAGTTTATTATGAGTTACACATAAGACATAAGACAATTATGAACTACACATAAGACATCCACCATCGTCTTTATCTTTTAAACTACATGCCATTTTGAAACGTTCACCTATTTTTATTGCTGGTGATTGTAACGAATTAACAGTTAAACGTGATTTATCTACAGTAAATTTAATCGGATCGGCTGCTGGACGTGTACGCAAATAATACATGCCAGTTTTCAGACCCTAAAAAACAGAAAAACATAAGAACAGAATAGCTTTAAAAGAAGAAATATATACCTTTTTCCAAGCATAAAAATGCATCGAGGACAATTTATTTACAGTTGGTTCTGCTATATGAATGTTCAATGATTGAGATTGATCAATAAATGCGCCTCGATCAGCAGCCATGTTAATAATGGTCTTTTGCGGTATTTCCCATACAGTTTTGTACAAAGCTTTTATATCATCGGGTATTTCATCAATATTCTAAATACAAATTATCATAATTTCGTTCTACATAGTAGGTTAGCGTGTAGATAGTTTTATTACCTGAACAGAACCATTCTCATTCATTAGACGATGTTTCATATCATCATTCCACAAACGAAGATCTGTTAAATCTTTGAGTAAATGATCGTTAACGACCTAAACCCGTATTTTTTTTACAATTAACGATTATGGCAACAATAGAAAAATTATTGCACACATACTTGAAATTCACCGGATAAAACTCTTCGGACATACATATTATTTGTGTACGGTTCAATTGATTCATTATTACCCAATATTTGTGCTGTTGATGCTGTTGGCATGGGTGCTAACAATAAACTGTTTCGCGTACCATATTTTGCTATTTTATCACGTAATTCTTGCCAATTCCAACGATCAGATGGTTTCACATTCCACATATCAAACTGAAGTATCCCTTTACTAACTGGTGAACCTTGATATGTTTCATATGTTCCATATTTTTCCGCTAAATCAGTGCTTGCTTTTAATGCACCGTAATAAATTGTTTCGAATATCAATCGATTTAGTTCTTGTGCTTGCACACTATCGAATGGATAACGCATCAATGCAAATGTATCAGCTAGACCTTGAACGCCAATACCAATCGGTCGATGACGTAAATTTGATTTTTCTGCCTAAAAATAATCCAATTTTATTGTTAAAAAGAGCCCTCATCTATGATGATTCTATACAGACCTGTGGTAACGGATAATAATTAACATCAATGATTTTATTCAAATTTTTAACAATAACACCAGTTACATAGACTAATTTATCAAAATCAAATGTACGATCATCCCGTACAAAACGATTTAAAGCAATCGATGCCAAATTACAAACTGCAACCTTAAAAACAGTCGACATTAGGCACAAATCTTACTAGAAATATGTCGAGAGTATTTCTTATCAATGAGATAAGAAATACTGGGAAAATTCAAGACCAAAAACTTGTAACTAAAACTTGCGTACCTCGTCTGGACTTGTATATTCAATTATTTCTGTACATAAATTTGAACAATGAATCGTTCCTAAATGTTGTTGATTACTTTTTGAATTACAATGATCTTTGTACAACATAAATGGATTGCCCGTTTCGATTTGAGCATTAATAATAGCAAACCATAGTTCTTGGGCTTTCACCTTTCGACGTCCAAGGCCTTCATTTTCATATCTAAACAATAAACATATTATATAAATTAAGGAATATTTATTATTTTTTCTCATTTATACTACCTTATATATAATTCTTCGAATTCTTTTCCCCACACATTTTCTAGATTTTTGCATTGATGTGGACACATTAATGTCCATTGTTCATTTGCTTCAACACGACGCATGAATAAATCAGGTATCCATAACGCAAGAAATAAATCTCTTGCACGCTTTTCTTCAGCACCTGTATTTTTTCGTGCATCCAAAAAATCAAATATATCCGCATGCCATGGTTCCAAATAAACAGCATATGCACCTATGAAACAAAAAAACAATAATGATCACAGAACTATACTAAGTTTTGTCTTTTACCTGGCCGTTTTCCTCCCTGATTTACGTAACGTGCAACATTGTTGAAAACACGCATCATTGGAAGAATACCATCGGATTGACCATTTGTCTAGTAAGAAAAACAAGTATACGTATTATTATTATTAAATTCACTATCAAGTTTATAGTCTTCTCAGGATTTTCTACAAAACTAAGTAAACATCAGTATCTTCTGCGTACACCTTTCATCGATTTATAAAACTTACGCCTTCAATGTATGATCCACTAGCACGAATAGAACTAATTGATAATCCAATTCCACCAGCATATTTCGATATAATAGCACAACGTCCTAATGTCTCAAATATTCCTTCGATTGAATCATCAACCATTGTCAGTAAATAACAACTAGCCATCTGTGCTCGTGTAGTACCGCTATTAAATAATGTAGGTGTGGCATGAGTAAACCATTTTTCAGATAATAAATTATATGTTTCTTTCACATCTTCGAGATTTTTTCCATGAATTCCAAGACTAACACGCATTAGCATATGTTGTGGACGTTCAACAACTAAATTACCAATTCGACGTAAATATGAACGTTCCAAAGTCTAAGAAAAAAATCAAAATGATTATTGCACAGGAGAAGAGCAGTAATAGTATACCTTGAAACCAAAATAATTGTAGTCAAAGTCTCTTTCATGATTGATAATTGCATCCAATGTCTAAAATAAACACAATAATATAGAATAAGAAAACATATTAACAGAAACCCAATCGTTACTTCAGCATGTTCCATCACAATATCGTACACTTCTTGTGATATCATCGGCGCATGAGTACTTAAATCAGGATTATAATGATCGTACATATCTTTAATTACATCTACAGTAGACAGTCAAATACATAGTTAGTTTCTGATACAAAAAATATGATGTATGAAATTACCACTGAATTTTTCTTTTGTTTCTTTATGTAAATTACTAACAGCTATTCTTCCAGCTAATATTCCATAATGTGGATGTTTCGCTGTCATCGATGCGGCTTTTTGTGCAGCTAAATTATCTAATTCAATTGTTGTTACACCGGGATGTAGAAAGTTGATTACTTGCAAAGCAATAGCAGCCTATAAAGCGAAATAATGTAAACATTTTTTGTAAACGAGATAGTGAGCGAGATAGTGTAAACACTGAAGTTTTGAAAAGAACAGAAAAAGCGGACATACTGGATCAATATAATCTAAATCCAATCCATAGCTAAGTTTTGCAATTCGAGATGTAATTTTATCAAACATCGCTGATTCTTTTCGTCCATCCCGTTTGATAACAAATAGATGCGCCTCGCTTGATTTTGTTCGTTGCATTATTCGAGGTACTTGGTTCAATTGATGTTTTAATATAAACAAATATACAATTCCCTGAGCTAGGTGTTGTGTCAAACAATCTCTTCTATTTAAAATTTAATATATCTAAAATAGAAAATAGGAGATGAATGTTTTCAATACCCATTTGTACGTTGAGAAAGGGGAAGAACCTCCACTTAAGCAAAGTATTTTAAAACACTTTAAGTATAAAAGGTATAAAACCGAGTAGCTAATCTGATCGAACATAGATGCAGACTGAATCGTTTCTGCCTAGTCTCGACTGAGCAAGTAATACAATATATATATGTTTTTCTTAGAGATGTGATGGTGTTTGTAAGAAAGTCCTACCACTCACACATTTCGTAAGAGGTAGACGTTTTTTCCTTCCTTCGTACAGTTAACGTTTGATTATAGAACGAGTCAAAATTCGCTTTTCTTTCACTACTATCACATTCATTAGAGAACGAAAGTTTTAGTTCAGATTCTTTGAATAATATGTATACCGCTTTGAATCAATATATTTCAGTCAACTTGTGAAATGATGAGTCATAGTTTTCACAGAAAGGACGGAATAACAAAGACAAAGAAGAAAATTTTTTTAGAATTTAGCCTGTCCAGTGGTGACTATTTTTACTGACTTTGCTGGCTAAATTCGATTGGTCTATCCAATGGTTACACCGATCAAATTTGGTCAGTAAAGTCAGTCGGTCAGTAAAAATAGTCATCAGCGCCTGTCCTCCTACGCTGGTCAACGATCCAGGTTTTTCTTTTTTCTAGTTCATTTATCGAATTACGACAATGTCGTATACGGTGTAATGAGAGAAAATTTAGTATATAAAATAAATGGGCTGGACACATACATTGTAAAACTCATAGACTGTAAAATTTTGACACTTAGAGTTTAAGACTATTAGACGTATAGATTTTTGGACATTAGGGTCGGAGGGACTCGTGCGTTGTGAGAGTGAGGTAAAAGTCATTCTTAAATTCTTAGGTTCTAAATTCATAAATTTATTCTGGTACTGGGTCTGAACATGTGCGATGATGTGAAGACGACGTTGAGGAGGCTATGTTGGGAAAGAAATCTCAAATTTAGAGTTTTGCTTTTACAACAGACAAGCCTTCCGCTCTCTCCTGTTTTCGGAAGCGTTTTAATTTCTTCCAAATTTCAGATACTGAACATAACGAGCAGTACACCAGAAATTTTCTCGTTTGTCGTATTTGTGTAGATGATAAAGACATTCATTTATTGAGCAAAGTCGGTTAGAAAAATCGTAAAACAGACGCTGTATTTAGAAACAAGTTATCTGAGTTTGTGACTTCTCGCTTATATGCAGTTTTCACACTTTCATGATATTTTTTAAACGATTAACAGACAGATCGACAGAAAAGAAAACATATATAAAATGAATGAAAGTGGAAGTTTCGGATCATCGTTTTGTTGCAGACCAAAAGGACCAACTTGCTGGATCGACGGATCAAGTTTTGGTCTGCAATAAAACGATCATCACGTTTCGTTATTCACTCTTCTTTCGTCCAAATGAAACACTACTCTGTGGATAAATTTAGAGAAAAGAGAAGAATTCTCGTTTGACGTTAAAGAACATCTTACTTGCATTGAACCAAAACATAAGCAGTTTTAAGAACCTTTTTATTCAACATTTTTATTCCATGACTCATACAGTGTTCGTTTTTATAACCAATGAAAACAATGATCTGTCATCTAACGTAATTTTGCTCGGCAGCGACATTTCATAGTGTTGGGAAATTCTAAAATAAATTTTGTTCCCTCGATTAGAGTTGCTTTATGCCGTGATCGTTTATTGCGTTTTTAAGTATCATATTTAGTATTCATGCGATATGTGATATTCACGAAATAAAATATGCTTTTCAGGGAGAGATAAGTGCTGCATGATGCCGATTTTTTGAATCGATGTCATTAATATTAGTGAACTATGTAGACAGTTTGTTTCAGTGAATGGCAATCATAAAAGCTTTTTCAATAAAGTGGTTTTATAATTGTTTCTTTTTGTACAAATTTAAATCTAAAATTAAATATACCAATTAAGATACACAATATTATTCGAGCGACAGCCATGATGAGATATGGGTTTTATAAAAAACCTGAAGAGTATGTACAAGAGGTTCTTGACTAGTGTCTTATGCTCCAGTAAAACCAAAACCATAGTAGTGATCAAAAAAAAATCATGATAGCTTTTCAATCTAAACACATAACGTACTGTTTTAGGTTGAAAATCTTAACCTTAGTTTAATTAACTTTTTATGGCGATACTTATTCAATACAGACTGGTCTTTATATTCAAGGTCCGTGTTATTGATATCGACTCCTGATTAATTCCCTGTTTAATAATAGTATTTTTGATTGGCTATTTTTATCATTTTCGTAAGGTTTTCGTCGGATGAATTACTGCTGTTAGAAATATTGAGCGATAAAAAAATTACGGAAGTTCATATAAGATGATTTAAGAAACCTCTATACTTATACTACAAAACTATCACAGAACACGGTTTTTCTGTTATAGAATATAAATAAACTTCGCGACTGTGATGGAATTTAAAAAAGATTTCAATACTATTCCGAATTAAATTGTTTAAACTATCTTTAATCTGTTTAGTTACAAACCATTAGTAAAATTGATGAATTGTGAAACAAAGCTTTGATGAAATTTAGAAAGTGAGTTTTTTAACACGGCCGCGTTAAACAATTCACTTTCTAGTAAACTGTTGTACGAAAGAACGAAAAAATGCATCCAGTACTAATTTAACCGGAGTTCGGCGCGAGATTTTAAAAATTAATTTTGTAACTGAAATGCGTCCATTTTATGGCGTCTTTGTCTCATGCGAAAGAGAATGATCTAAAACTGGGTGACTTTTTCCAACTGTAAAAATATATGTTTAGGCTCTTCTTATTCAGATCTTTTCTCGTGTATATGGGACCTTAGGTCAGATTATGATGGTTTTTTTGTTCTATTAACTGAATGAGATCTTTTTACTTTTGATACGAACAGAGGAATAAAAACTTATTGTGTCATCTTAAACATTTTCCCCACTAGCATGGCAGTGAGAACGGATCATACTAGCTTAAAACTGCCAAGACACATAATAGCTATTGGACAACTATAGACGCGAACTAGTAGCATACAGAACAGGGAATATTTTTTGGATGTTAACTGGTGCACCCATTTTTCTACTGGATGACAAGAGATGTAGTCACAGAGTGAGCGCAATCGATGCTCTAGTAATGGACCTTCCTTTTTTCGGATTTCACTATTATTATCTGAATTTTATACGGTAAAAACGCAATCTTGTTTAAAACGTCATGTTCAGGTAAATAACAATTGCTTTAGTCACTATGTAAGCTAGTCTTCTACATGATGCAAGCGGTCTTGTATTGAAAAGCTGTTGAGCTGAGGTAGACATTTCACTACTTATTTCATCATGGAGTTTTTCTATAGTTTTCTTTTAAAAAAGAAACGTTTCCTCAGTTTCTCAGTATCCTTTGTGGTATCCTTTGTGATAACGTTTAACGTTTCTATCAAAAAAATGATGCATGGTAACAATTGAAAAATAAAGCAAACTAGAAGACAAGTACACGAGACGAACACTGCATACGCGGAAGAGTACATCACCAAACACCGACGCTAGATTACTAGCATTTAACTTATGAAACTGACAAAAACAGTGACCAATTACAGTATGATCACTGATACTTACATACTTTTCTCTCTTTCTTAGCTCTGTATAATTCGGATTTCTGCATTTGTTTAGGCTGAAGCTGCATGACGCGAATCTTTTTAACTGAATTTAGGAAGGTAACATTTACAATACAAACCACAATATCCAAATGTAAAGCCAAGTTCTATATCTTAGTTGATATTATGCACTAAATCTATGCTGAATGAATTTTCAGAAGTAAAAGTTCTAAAACGGCTAATAAATGATAAATACATCGATCATCTGTGCCATCCAATCAGAGATGCCCTAAAAAGAAAAAGCAGGGAGGGTGACGTTCAAATTTCGGAGTAAATCGTTTTTTTTCGAAATGAAAGTAAATTTTAGATTTTCTGTAAATACGACGGTAAAACGTAGCAAGTAATGTTTTACTAGAAACTTCGTGTCCAAGATATATAAATAATATTTTCGCTTCCTAAATCTTCTATTGTCGTAAAACAGATAGAGAATCAACACTAAAAAAATCGAGAGTGGATGCTCTCGATCTGGAACTAAAATTGAGCATGATGAGGATCATTTTTAGCACCAAAAAACTAAAATTATGAGCTCACGGTAGGGGTGTGTTCATTCACGCAGGCGCCACTATCCATTTAGTTAGCTTAGAACAAAAATGATTTTTAAAATGCTAAGAAAACCAGATCATAAGATTCGTATGTAAGTCTAGAGTAATAACTAGTACACCACTACCACTGCACGTAATCTCCTCTTCCAACTGCACTGAAGCTCCTATAGCAGGAAGTAGAATATGTCATAGATCAGAAGAAATTAAACTGATTTTAAATCATTTTATCTGATCGGGGGGTGGTAAAGATAAGTTAAAATAAAAATGACGCCGAACGTTATTTGCATCTAATCATATCTTGACTTTAAGTCGTTAAGATATATCAGGAGCTGCTGGCAAATAGTTATATTACAATCATCATAAAACATTAAAAACTTGGGTTGATTGTGATCTTTCCTCTGTTCGATGGCACAACAGGATGTATTTTTATCTCAATAATTCAAATAGTCAGTCTTCGGTTTTAACTGCCTTTTCGACTAGCCAACCAATCAGCTAACTAACGGCAGTGTCTTCTATAAATTCAGTTTCCAGCTTCCCACTTAGTTATTTGAATTTGTCTTCTTTTTGACAGCGAAATGAAATACAGAAGAGAGATCTATTGCTCTGCAAACAAAAATACGCTTTAGTGCATTATACTAAAGCATTTAAACATTGCAATATGGTATTAAATAAAGATCAGCAAAGATACTTATTAAGCTAAACATTAATTGTCCTTTGGTACTTTTGAGGAGGCTCAGTTACGCGTCCATTTGAATTCAACGAATGCGTGAGTTTCCTTTGTATGCGGTAAAAACATCAGTTTTATTACTTTTTTCTATCTCTCTCTCCCCTATGACTATACCATCTTGTCATTTCTTCTTTCTTGATTGTTCAAGTTCTTTATGTCTGTACTGCAAGTCTATATTTAGACGAACGAATAGTCTGCTAAGATTCTCGATCATTTTTCTAGACAAATGTCAGTTTAATTTTTAGTTTATTTTAGTGTCTTATTTTTTTTAACTTAATAAAAGTGTTGGTGTCTGCGCAGTTGATGTCTAATTTACTAGACATGTAATATTATGATACGAAAATGTCGGAGACATGACAGCTTTTACTGTAGGTTATAGAAGTACTACTGCTATTTTACTTTAGTTTATTCTATATAAGACTTTGAATAGTTATATACCGACTATCATCAGTATTTTTTTGATTAATATTTTAGATAAATAATTTGTCTCTAGATCCAAGAAAATTTGAATGATGTATGTATCAACAAAGCCGACATTTTCAATTCGTCCAACAAAAACATCTTTAGCTCGTCAATCACTTAGCTCAAAAATGCGTTGTTCAATTGTTCCGGCACAACCAGTCAATAGTCGTCGATCCTTGAGTCAAGTATCGAATACATACAGTGAACTAAATACGAATAATGATCAAGTTCAAAATAATGTCTTTAAAAGACAAGAACAACAATACCGAAAAACTACCGGCGTTACAAAAAATGTGATATTTAAACGTCGTTCTGTTAAAAAACTGGCCGTTATTCTATCTGAATCATCGATGAACAATTCAACAGAAGCTGAAACATTAAAACAAGTTATTGTGTCATCATTAACAGAAAACGTTAAAAAACTAGAAATAGCCGTCAAAGATCAAGAAAATAAACCACCAATCGAAGAAAAATATAAGAAAAAACAATCATTATTTACTTCATCATCAGCTCGTTCGACAACACTTCCTCGTCTGCTTTGTGCAGGCGCGTCAGACCCACAGTCTAGAAGAATTTCTTCTCCTATATTGCGACCAGTACCATTACCGATGAATAAACAATTAGAAATACTTGCCATTGAACCACCATCTGATAGTAAAGAAAAGGATGAATTAGATGAAGACGAACAAGTGGTCTACGGTGAAATATATGTAATGAATTATATTCGTGATATTATGAATTTATTATATGCGCTCGAATTATATTATCCAATCAGTAACGCCTATTTACGAACATCAACAGAAGCAAAAACATGGAAAATAACATTTAAACATCGAACAACATTAGTCGAATGGTTAATACAATCGTTTTACTGTCGTTTTCGTCTGTCCCAAGATTCATTACATGTATGTATTCAATTGTTGGATCGTTTTCTTCAACATTGCTCATTGTTGCCATCTACTTCACAACAAACAGATTTGCAATTAATAGGTGTTGCTACATTGTTATTAGCAACAAAATTAGAAGAAACACAACATCCAGCAATTGACGATTTGATCTTCTTAACAGATAATGCATATAAACCAACTGATTTGAAACAGATGGAAAGAAAAATTTTACAAGATTTACAATTTGAGTTAAATCGACCAACAAGGTACAGTTTTAATCTTAATCGTGCATAAAATAAGATTCACCTAATTCATTTGATCAGAATAAATAAGGAAATGGTCTTATGTGAGTTCTTCACAAGAAGACATTGAAAACACATTTAAGTAAACGAATGCTTTCTTCAGGATGAATGCTGTTTGTAAACGGAAAAATTTAAAGGAGAGATATTATAGAGAGATATCGTAGAAAACTTCTGTAGAACTAGGAGTTAGTTAATTTCCAAATGAATTTTGTTTCACTAGGGACGCATTGTAGAGGCAAATGCTAAATATCACACTTAGTTAAGACTGAGTTAATCCTTGAACTTAGGCATGATGTTGTCTCAAGTCCAGCATGTTTGAGGGACTCTGTAGTCCCTAAACGATCACAAAATCATAATGGAAAAAATGTATAGTTTCTTTTTTTAGTTTACAATTTTTACGTCGATATTCATTTTTATCATCAGCAGCAGATGAGCAACATTCAATTGGAAAATATTTGATCGATTTGGCATTATTAGATTTTAACTGTATTAGTTTAAAATCGTCATTAATAGCTGCATCAGCCACGTATATCTCTCGTTTTATTCTGACGTATGTAACAGATGAAGTATTTGATTATTATTGGCCAGAAGAATTACAAACAATGACACCCTATAAAACATATGAAGATCTATCAAGTGGTATTAAAGCATTAACAAATATTCTCGTCAAAATATCCTCTTTATCAAGATCAAGTTTAAATGAGTTTAATTTATTATTTAAAAAATATGGACATGAACATTTGTCTTGTGCAAGTACATTTTGTTTACAAAAACAGAAACTTATTCAAAAACTCGCAAATGGCTATTATTTATGAGAACAGTAAACTAAGAAAAATAAGATCCTCTTTCTTGTATCTAGAGTCTTAACGTAATACAAAATTATGATTCTCCTTTTTATGGATGTGTCATGTGTGTGATCATTCTCCCTTATTTAATTCTGACTATTTCTTAATAATATTTTTTTTCTGATTTAGCTTAAATTTTCCCGACAAATCGTTTTTTTCCTGCAATGGTAATGTAGTCAATAGGCAAATTTTCCATCTCTGGAGTTGGAATGACCTTCTGTCACGTCCCTATCATGCTCAACAAGTGCTCAACATTCTGTTATCTCTTTGATGTGTACTCTACATGCATGGTAAAGCAAAGATTTTCTTTCTCACAAACTCCTATTTATTCTAGTACCATCTGAAATTAAGAAATTGCACTTGGGTGTATTATTTCTCATTTTTGAAGGTAAAAATGATTTTCTTTTGCTGCCATTTCCTTCTCTTAATTTTATTATGTTCATTTATATTTTTTGTTCTTTGCTGTTTATTATTTTTTGTGTTGTGTGCGTGTGTATTGTACATTGTGATGTCTATTTTTCTCGGTTTAAAACCCTTTCTACTTTATTGGAATGTGTTATTTTTCTGAAATGGAGAATAAAGTAATTGATGAGCTTGAAAAAGAAAACATTTGTTTGATATCGATTATGGTATACAAGATGAGTGAAACATGTGTATTTTATTAAATTATTACAAGAAAAAAATTAATTGTAAATGACTATTCATTGTTATTTTAAATTTAAAGAGAATATCTAAATAAAATATATAGAATTATAAGATGACAAGCTAATATAAGTTTTCAATGCATTTGATATCAATAAATAAACTCCATATCCATTAATAGAGATACCGACTAAATCGTATGGTCTAAGAAAAAAAATCACCATTACTCTTTCCAAATTGAATAAGAATCACAAAATCGTTTCAAATTTTTCATCTATTCGTAATCAACAAATCTCTAACTTTATATATTTTAGGTCATAAATAGCTAAAATTTCGTTACTAAAGGAACTTCGAATATTGATTAATGCTTTTCTAGCAGCTGTTCACGTAAACCTATTCGTTGTCATCCTTTTTATCCTGTCTCGGCAGCTATAGTTCGAGCAAAAAGAGTCAAGATACATTTAAATAAACTTTGTCACGCACACCTCTCTATCCGATCAAGCTGGTTCTTTCACACTTTATATTCAGTATATTGTGTAGATGTGCCTTTTCTGCAGACAAAAATTTAAGTGTTGTGTATTTGTTGAGCTATTATGGAAGCAGTCGATTTTTTCCTTATTTTTAAAACTTTTTTTATCTTATGACTCATACGTGCACAATGGATAATTAAAGGAAGGTAGACTGAGAAGCATCAAACAGGAGCTTGTATGATTCATAACACAATTAATTACTACACTTCTATGTAGATGTTGTTTTGAGTTTCTAATATGCTAAAGGAATTCCGTATAGAAGGTTAAATATGAAGTAATGTTCTAGTATTATGTAAATAATTTGGAGGGCTGGTTCATTTAAGCCCCCCTCCCCTCCTCAGAAATTATCTCCGATACTGTACATTCGATCTTGACGAAACTTTCTATAAATGTTAGGCACAATGAGTTACGGGAATGAAAAAATTGTTTTGTCTCTAAGTCTTACAGTTTAGGAGTTTTCCAGAGATCAAGATCCCAAAAGGACCCTGAAGTACTTTCCAAGATTTTTTAATATACTTCAAGCTGGAGAGTTCGGGTTTGTTTTATTTTAAACTAGACATCTAACTACATCGACTGATCAGGGGCGATTTTTCAATTAAGCCTTTATTCGTTTACCAGGCAACCAATAACCTGCGAAACCCGAAAAAGCCTTCCGGATTTTCTAAAAATCCTCAGTTTGACAAAAAACTAAGACCTAATTCAAAAATCAACGCCGGTCAGTCGATGTAGTTTCTTTTCCTCTTTTAAACAAAAAAAGAATAAACTCTCTATGACAAACCGCTATTAAAAATCTTGGAACGCACTTCAGGTGTAACTCTTATATAGTGAAAACGCTGTATGAAATACTCGGTTTCGGGACTTCTAGGAAAATGCCTGTAACGTTTCGATGCAAGGTCATATAGAGTTGTGCGAAGTCTTATTTTGATCAGAAACGTTTGCTCTACAAAGCTGTGTTCTCAGAAAAATTTGAATTGCATAAGTATCCAGGAAAGAACCGTTATTTGAAGACTCGTCTTTTCGAGGCTCTTAGAAAACTTGCTCAAAATCCCGGAAAAACCACTTTTGTAACCAAAAGCAATACAGATTCTGAAAGTAGGCACTTCAGGCTATCTTTCCATGTGCGTATCTCAAAACCGATTTTTTGACCGAAAATCACCATTTCTGGGGAGAGGGATGNCCCCCCGCCCCCGCGCGCCCCCCCCCCCCGACCTTAATATAATAAAGTAGTTAACGTTACTTGATCAATGTTTGATTTCTAATAAAAATGTTTAGTAGTAGAGAAAATTAAGTATTCTGAAAATATTTATTAGTTTAAAAAAAAAGTGCATCAATATGGTTTCAGTTTAGCTATTTTCTTGAAAACAGAAAATAGTTCCACATCCAAATGTGTATACATACCTGTTAAAGGTGAAGAAAACTAAATCACATAATTTAACTGGTGATGCTTGTTTATTTTATACAAAAGTTTTGTGTTACGCTGTTGGCACTGGATACATATACATAAAGTTAGATAGATGTAAACTATCAAAAACTAAGGTAACCTAAAACATTTTAAACTGCTCTCAAGTGTGTTTATTTTTAATAATGATGTTTGCTTTAAAGTCATTCAATCAATAAAGTACTCAAGAGAGAGCACTGTGTGGGCCAATTTTTGTCCTTAATCAAATTCAAACTCTATTGGATCAGATGCTCGTAAAATGTCATTATTAGTATTGTTAGATTCCGTATGAAGAAAAAATGTGTGACCAGAGTAGAATCGAATCAGGAATCTTGACATTCTAAGTTGATGCTCTAAATACTAGCTTAACGAATTATAGTAGGCATTTTTGGCAAAATAAGTACGTATTTATGATACAGTAGATGACACGTGCTGTTTTAATGATTTGATAAAACGGCTTACCGATGTGCAAAATACTACACAATTTGCTAAACGGCTCAACTCTTTAACTGCTCTTAGGAGAAATGTTTTCTTCTATACAGTGGCTCGAAAAATTGATCATACAGCGGAGATTTTTTCAGTATTTTGATCGTAACTTTGTAATGGTAGGTCATAGAGAGCTGCGGTTTTCACCATTGTATTCAGCATAATGTTTTCTCTAAATGTACCAATTTTTGTGCAAAAATTCGTTGATTCTAACGTTTTATTTAAAAAATGCGAAAATACATCGTTTTTTTTTGCCCGAAAAATTGTTCATACAGTGCAAAGAAACAAAAAATAACTTTTTTTTTGGCATAAACTTTTTCTTTTTTAATATCTGGTTGAAAAGCC